GGAATGCCCGCCTTCATTTGTCTGAGGCACTCCTTATAGGCCAGTGCTTCCTGCCAGTCACTTGGCCAACCCCACCGCCTTAAAATAAACTCTAATTTGATAGGTTGAGTTTCTGGCACAACCTGGGTCCTCAACAGCATCTGATAGGATTGGAGCGCCAATCCTCCGAAAAGACCCCGCCTTCTTCCCGCTGCCGTTGGTTTTCTCGCTAATCCGTCAAACCGAAAGCCTGTAGCCCCACCCCCCGTAACAACGTCCACCTTCCCGCGCAACTCCGCAAAGAGACAAGGAAGCGCTTCCTTTTGTCTCTTTCCAGTGGTTAATTAGGCTGCCCATCTTCTGTATCTCCACCCGATTGGTCAATGTTGAGTGGAAAGAAAACTCTCCCGCCAGACGGTAGAACTGACAGCCTCTGATTGGGTGAAAAAAAAGAGAGCCCCACCCCAGAGTAAGCTCGCTTTGGCGCAGTCCGGGAAAGGATAGGCGGCGAGAACGCATGCGCAAACGTGCGTTCGGTGCCTTGGGAGGCGGGGCGACCTTTTCTGGGAAGGAAGGCCTGGAGTACCGGGAGTATTGAGTGCCTACTGTATACAACGCTACAAAGCTATAGCCAGACCGGGGAACAAGTCTCAGACCAGCTCTGCCCCAACACTATGCCCTTTTCTTCTCTACCTCGAGCTTACCCAATACCGGAAGCATCTTTTCCTTTTACCATAAATCTGACCCTCTACTTTAGCCTGTGCTGCTCGCCAGCGTCACCTACTCCACCTCTATAAATTCAGCCACGAGTATTCCTTACTGGTGGCAGAAGGGGAGGGAATGTCGCGCACGTCGCGAACTTTCCCCACGCAGACCCTTCCACCAGACCACTCTCCGCCACCGCTCCCGCGGGGGCTAAGGATGATGCCGTCTGTGTGCGGGCTCGGCGCGCGAGTCCCACCAGCCCAGACCCCGGGCTGCCCTCCGAAACTCCGAGTAATGGTGTCCACGTGCCAGCCTTGACCGCTCTGGGTGGTCATGGGAAGCCCGGGTGGCCGGCCTACGCGGCGCCTGCCGGGTCCTGTGCCTGGCAGTGCCAGCGCTGAGCGAAAGGGGTAGTTCTTGTGCTCTGAGCCTCTGGGGGCATTCCCGGCCGGAGGGTGCTCCCCCTCGGAGTCTCCGGGCCACAGCCATGATCTGG